AGAGTGCTGCTTGCAATTCCTGGTGTTGGCGCTTGCATCTTTAGCCGCTGCGCAGAAAGGAGGGACGAGCACCGACACGACTGGCACGTCGGGCAGCAACAGCCCCACGGGCGATCCATACGTACCAGCGCAAAACATCACGTGCTCCACTGCGTGCAACTCGGCCAACGCCGGCCTGCACTCGCGCTACTCGCTCCCCGCGTTTCTGCCGAATGCAACATGCCCGCCAGAGTACAACAACGCCATCAGCACGAGCCGCCTCTCTTGCTACGACGGCATGAGCCTGCCCGCGTGCTGCAACAAGTGCATCAGCCGTCGCACGTGCAGTTACTGGCAATTTTACCAACCGTAAGTTACTTCACGACATCTCTCAACCAGTTCAAAAATTTATGGCACGTGAACCGACCTACTTGAATAATAAGAACGCACATTCTTACGATTGGATCTCTATCTTGCAAGAATTGGCTGGGATAAATTAAGGCCGTGTTATTTACTCCTCTCGTTACTACTACCCTTGTGTCTCCAAACAAACGATCGGATTGCGCAAACTGCGGCGTGTGCTACATCTACCCGCCGCTAGCGGCGCCTCCCAACTGCGTTCGCAACGGCATCCTGTGGAATGTGACCCGCGTGGCGCGACCGTGCCCGTCGTCGCTCAATGACCCGCACTTCGCGGGCGCAGAGGGTACGCAATTCCATTTCAATGGGTTGCCAGACCAGAGCTTCTGCCTCGTCACGGACGCACGAATCCACGTGAACATGCGCATGCGCGGGTACTATGACGACCGCACGATCGGCGCGTCGATTCTGAAGGACGGCAAGGCGTTGCCGTTGCTCTCCGTGGGCAGCAAGTACGTGATGGCCGGCGGGCTGACGCTGGCGTTCACGGGGTACGAGAAGCAAGGCGGCGGATTCTTCGACGTCGACGCGTACTCGCTGGAGGTGGACGGGCTGATCAAGCTGGACGTGAAGCTGCGGCCCGCGCACCCGCTGCTGCAGACGGAGGCGGACGCGCAAACGCACATCAACCTGCACTTCGCGAGCGTGGAGCCCACCCCTGCCATGCACGGCATCATGGGGCAGACGTACCGCGAGGGCCGGCGGAAACGCGCGTTGGAGTACACGTCGCTGTCGGTGCTGCTGTTGCGGTCGTTCGCGACGGACGGCGTGGAGGGCCGAGTGTACCTGGACGGCGAGGTTGTTGGAGGTGGCGTGTGTTGGAAGCAAGGTGGTGGCGGGGCGATTGATATGCCCCCAACCCACCGAATGTGTTGCTTCCGAATTTGTTCATTGCAGGTTTCGTGAAGTTGTAGGTTGACTTCGGAAGACGTGCAGATCGGTGCCACATGGCAGCACCTGGAACATTCGAGGACCAAAGGAACATTCGAATGTGTGAAATTCGGTTGACGAATTTCACCAAATCGAAATGTTACCCACGGAACATTCGCGACACTTCGTGTAGCAACTCGACGCTACGTGTGCGATTCGACAAATTGAGTAGCTATAAATGTGTGCGCTTTGTATGCATGTTTCATACTGGAAAACGTGAATCACTTTGTACACAGTGCATTCGACAACAAATTCCAGAGCGTTTCCAATCCTTCAACATAGAGCATAGCTTTCACGTTAGTAGCCATATCTCGCTCGATACTTAGGCGATCGAGGTGATCTATGGCTCGTTGGAAAGCTAACAGAGTGCTCTACTGATTAGAACAATTCCCAGTTCATGCAAAGTAGAGGAGAGTCCTTTACAACAGAGGTGAAGTACTACCGCACGTCCAGCGTCATGTCCGCCGACTGCCTCTACACCGCGTTCGACGGACACAAGCTACCACCCATCAACGAGGACAACAGTGTGCTAATGGCGACAATAAGAAATAAGACTTTATACATGGTTTTTCTAGTTTTGGGCTGGTTGGTCACTTTTGCGATCTAGATCTAGACCGATTTTTTTTTTTTTTGACGGCTTCAAACATCGTGTGAAGTAATTATGTAATGCCCCGACTTGTCTTACTGCCGACATCAGAACGCATGAGGATTTGTAAATGTGTAATTGCTGGAGAAGCTTCCTTCCTTCTCGCGGCAGACATAAATGTTCTGTGTAGATTCCACCACGGTGTGAGGTCTCTACTTTAGAAAGACTGAAACAATAGTACATAATCACCACACCAACGTGAGGTCTCTACTTTCGGCTGTATTTTCTCACTGTCTAAATAAATAAAAAAAAACCTAAATTCTTTGGTGGGATGTGATGGGCGGGATGGGTGCGAGGGAGACGCATTCACATGTGAAAAGGCGCTTTGATCAAATGAGAGATGTGACGGGCGGATACGAAATGGCGTAGGATGGGAAAGGAAGGGAAGGGAAGGGATGGGATGGAATGAAAAGGGATGAGATGAGATGGGATGGGATGTGATGTGGCGGTAGCACAGTGCTGTTTCTGACACAAGAATAGCCGCTGCGACTCGAGGAGGCAGGGCGGGACTTGAATATGCGTTTGGATGAGATAGAAAGAGATGGGTGCAATGGGATGGGATGGGATGTGATTAGATATGATGGGGTTGGGATGGGATGGAATCAGAGTGTTGTGGTGTGGCATTGACAATTTGACACCACAAATGCGCCTCGTCAACTGCTTGACTGTCTGCTGACGGGCGGTTGGGAATTATGGAATCGTAAGCACAAAACCACATCACCCCACCCTGTACCGCACTTCACCTACGAAACAACCTTTCGTTGTTGCTTTGTATGCGACAAGAAGAGGCGGGGAGTGGGGAGGGGACAATATGGGGAGTGGGGAGGGGAGAAAATGGGGAGTTGGTGGGAGGGGACAAGATGGGGAGTTTGGCGAGGGCAAAATGGGGAGTGTGGTGGAGGGGACAAAAATGGCCACGTAGACAGACACCCGACAGACTCTCGTCCCGCGCGTCGCCTGCCACAAGTGTACACTTGAGAACTGTGGTGGAGGTCCTGGTCGAAATTCGATGGGCATGGACCTGGACAGCTTTTCGCTGTAAGAGTAGCATCGATATTTGGTAACGAGTGATGTCATGCAGAAATTTCTTGTTTCGGACATCATCAAGGTTCCTTCAATACAAGCAATTGCCAATAACGAAGTGCCGAAAGGACCAAACGATAACCCTTCATAACCGTCGCAGACCGCGTAAAACACTCTATCAACCGCCTGCTAATGAACTTGAAAGTGGTTGACTGTGGAAAAGAACCGCTACGAACCGATCGAAAACATCGCTCTTTCCAGTGGATTGATTGACCTCATGGGACCCTTCCCAAATTGACCAGTCTTGCAAACCGGGAGATGGTTGACAACGCTTTGCACGGAACATCGTTTTCTGAATTCTGAAGCATAAATTCGCTCCACTCGACATCATGTTTATCAGTTGAACCACTCCTATCTCTCACCAACAAGTCACAGCACATCTGCTAGCAGCACGACCCTTCTATTGTTTTCCTGCTAGACCAGCTACCAGCTGCTCACAGCTACTAGCAGTACTTCCAATTCCTTAGCTCCGACATCAATATTTATTGTAGGCAGCTTTTCCAATTTCACTCCTTCTTCACCCCCATCCTTGTGCGTTGAACACACATCGCTCGTCATGACGCGATTCGTAGTGCTGCTTGCGATCGTGCTGGTGCTGGCAGTGCAGTTGCATGTCGCCGCCGCAGCCGGAGGTTCGACGAGCACTACCACGGAGGGACGGGCAGCAACAGCCCCACGGGCGATCCGTGCGTACCGGCGCAGAACATCACGTGCTCCACTGCGTGCAACTCCATCACCAAAATGTTTCTGACCCGTACCTGACCCACCTTCCGGCCTGACCCTAGCCTGTCCTGTAAATGCCCCCAGAGTTTCTTTGGGGTCAAATTGGGGTTAGTGGTCATTTCAGCATCGCGAAAAAACCAAGCACATAAAGTTGCTTCTCCGCAGCTTCAAAGTTGCTTTTCCGCAACTCTTGTTTCGCAAAAAAAAAAGTCTAGGTCAAAGGCTTCTGGGTCAGGGTTACAGGGAAAGTGGTTTTCCCGCAACTTTCCCGCAGCTTTTTGGCAGCGTTTCCGGCAACATGGCCGCAACACGCACGGCGTCATATGGGTCGCTTCTACGTCATGTAGCTGCCAGTGACATTTGCGTCACCATGCGGACACTCTACGGTTACACCTGTGTGTTGCCACATAGCTGCCGATTAGCATACATGAAGTCACTATTCCACGTCAGCATAATATTTGCACGTGTACTCACGCTTTATGACAGGTGGATGCCAAACCATAACGAATTGTATCGTGCCGCATGTACGGTCGAGATGGCCACAGTTGTACGCATGCGATTGTCGCGTGCCAACTCCGCTATGCCAACCGCAGCACGGCACATGGCCGCACCGGATACGCCGTCAACCTCCAGATCTCACGCCCATACGCCTCATATCTACCGTCCGTCCGATACAAATGTCATCCCACGATTTGTAGTGGAATCCACCTGTACCTACACACGCCGTCCGTTCGGTGATAGGGTCTTCCAACTAGGACTACTGATACCAATCGCACGTTCACACGTACTCGTCGCAGATCTCACGATAACACACCAGTGACCATATCCATCACACACGTGGCAAATAGCCATTAGACACCGTCGTCGGGCAAACAAAAAAGCCGCGGTTCATTGATGAGCGGTTCGGCAGATTGTACGGTTGCCCTATATCCACGTCTCTAGAATAGCGTTACATCTAACGGCTCCTATTTACCCCGCCGCATTTGTCGCCGCGATTAGCGCCGCATTTGTCGCCGTACTGCGCGGAATGCTGAGAGTTGCGTTTCAACCGTCCTCGTGTCCAACATGCGCAATGTCTCCGCTAGGTGTGCAATATCGAACATACATGTCACTGATTTACTGCACAAATGCATAGAACCAACAACAACCACAACCTGTCCCCACTAAACCACTACACTAGTCTACGACACACAATTGGATTAAACACACAATCAGGAAGTCAACCATCTGTTTCACTATCCGATGCCTCCGACGCGGAGGACTCATGTTTTTCGTCTTCGGAGGCTGCTTCATCTTCCAGGAGGCATTCCAGGCCGCAAGATGAAAGGCGGAGCCCATGCCTGCCCCACTTCCAGGACTTCTTCTCCTCGTCGTAGGGCACTTCATTCCGGCATACTGCATCCGCAATGGCATCGAAGGCCAGCTTCTGAATCCTCCGCACAGAAGCGCCATTCTCGCACGGAGAGTTGTGCAGTTTCCCCTTGCGCTTCTCCCAGTTGACAATGGCGTCCGTGATCTGCGACCGCAGGAGAAGCCCATTTACAACGGCGAGTTGAAGGAAAGTGGCTACAACATATGTTCGCATCGGTGTAAATGTACAATGTGCTCGAGCCACGACAGGTGGTACAGCTTTATAGTTGTTTCTTTGTCCTTCCGCTTCCCTCCGAAAGCCGCGATGGCACATGCCGCGAACGCTCCGGATGCAAATGGCAGTCCATCCTTGCTGATGTGCCACTTGCACAAGGTCGGGTCCCCTGCGCACGTGGAATGCAAAAGGGGTACAACGATACCGCGTACGGAAAAAGGGGAGGGTTCAAAGACATGTCTGGTCCACTATGGCACGAAACAGGAGTTGCGGCCATAATCGCTCCGGCCATATGACAAGCGAACACGCACCATCGTCTGGGACGGGGACGCAATATCTCTTTCGGGCACGCTCCCCAGTGCGCTCCGTCTTACGTGCCCAAGGACTGGCCCTGTCCTCGTCGTCACGGAAAAGACCAATTCGTGGAAGAAAAACTCCGCGAGCGCGTCCAGCCAACCCTGTTTTGTACTCGGACAAGGTCTTGTTCAGATCCTGCCGTCGAGCCTTATCAGCGTCTAACGCCAGAGTCGCAGTTTTGGGAGAAATGGTGGACACGACATGGCATAGGCCCGCGTTTTTGGCGTCGCGACTCGGGTAGAAATCCATCTTCTCGTTCGGGGCTTCTACAAACAGATAATCCTTAACCATGTCGCAAACACCCTGCGACATTGAAAATAGTTGTACGGGGGGGGGAAACGGTTACGAGATATGTAGTGTATCCAACAACTGTGCCTCGACGTGAGCAGAACACACTATGCGAGGCCTCACCTTCCAAGCCTTCTCCGCTGGAAGGATGTCAAGGGCGGTTTGGAGCACTGGCGACTTGTCGTGACGCGCGTGCCGTGCCACTTTCGCCGGCAAGTCGTCCTCATCGCACGTTGATTCTTCGTCATCATCTGACTGGCGTTTCCGCTTCAAAGCTTCTCGGCCGAGCGAAGCTGCGGCACTTGTGGACGCCCGCTTGCGCTTACGCCGTTCGCCAAGGCGGATGATGGTCAGTACGTGTGACTCAAGACGAGCCAGTGTCTTCGCGGTATCATTCTGGGAATCACGCAACGCATCAAATTCCACGCGTGTGACTTGGCCATCGGCTGCATCTATCCGCTTCCTCGAATGTGGCGCTTTCGTGGCCTGCTCCTCCTCTGATCCGTTCTCGCCACACGGATCGTTGCTTGACGACTGACCACCACCGTTTCCTTCCTCGTCGTCCTCATCTTCGCCGTCCATTAACTCGTCTATCAGGCGTTCCTTCACGGCCTCCGTGTCCTCCTCCCCTTGCGGTGCGTTGGCGACAATGGGCGTGCAGGCTGCCTCCGCGTCGACGGCCCCGACAGCGTTGGCGCTGCATATCTGCAGCCGCACTTCTCGAGTCTCTATGACCAGTTGCGTGGTAGGTAGAAGGGTGTGTAGATTGCGTGTGCATACGGCATATATCACCACAGACAAGCATTAGCACTGATACATGAAATGCAACGCACTTGTCACGTCACAAATGTTACCTTCGTCATGCCCCGCGTTCTCATCCGCCGCGCCACATTTTCCTGTGCTTGTTTTACGCCTCTTGGGTTCCGCTAGGGGTCGTCCTTTCTTCTTCCGCTCCCCGTATTCATATGAATCAGCTAACCATGACGGCGCAGTCTTCGCCCGCTTGGAACGACCGCCGTCGGTGGGAGTCATATCGACCTCTAGCGGAGACAGCATCTCAGACCGCATACACAGCGGGTTGGAAATGGCGTAGCTCTAAACCACCCCGGGGTTCTACCCTCGCTCGCAACAGTCCCCTTACCACTCTCTTGTACATCGCAATGCTCGATAACGGAGTTTGTCACCGCACTAGTTGCCTCACGCTCTTGGCCACGCGCACAATTCTACACATGTCACGGTTAGAGTGGCCAGCTTGATTACAGACAAATGTCAGCCACACTTTCCACATGTAACATGTCGCCGTGCCAGGTTTGTCACATCGTCGATGCTCGTCCACGTTTCTGTCAGATGCGTTACTCCAATTATACACCCGCTTTTTTCACCATTTGCTACTACCCCCAACCGTTGTTACAGTTTCAAGATGTGCATCGTTTAAGCGTTCTTTGTCATATATTTACATCTCCTGGATATAGACACTTCAATAACGTGGTCGCTGCGATGCTTACATTTCCAGATTCGGCTACCCGCCACAAGGTCTAAGTCCTATCAGTATGAGCACACAACTAGAACAACCCCGGGTCCAATGGCCACCCTGTTTAGTGCTTCATGCAACACCCTCTGCACGGTTGACATCCTCCCATCCATCATCTTCGCCGAAAGTATCGGATCCAGGTTCATACACAGCATCATCGTCAACGGACTCGTCGTCATCCGTGTAGTCCTCTGTTCGGTCCTCTGGCTCTTCAGCCATAGGCTGGTCCTCTGTAGTCGGCGTGATCGCCTGCACCTCCTCAACGTCACTACTGGCCCGGGACGCTCTGCCCTTTCGCCGCGAACGGGTCTCGACCGCCTGCGCGTCGTCCAGGCCAGCCATTGCGGCACGCCACTCCCTCCATCTGTTCCAGCGCCTGTACTTCACGAGTAGCCTTAGGATCTCCTCTGTGCAACCGGCTAAAGCCTGCCTGTCACCGTCGGACAGCTCAACCGTGCAGCTGATGCGTGAGTTCGGGCGAAGTACAACGGCTGCCGCAGCATACGCGTATGACGCCTCGTCCTTGTCCTCGTACGACCCCAGACGAACCTGCTGACTGCGAGCAGATATGATCCGGACGTAGTACCTCTGCTTCTCTGCGTTCCACATAACTCCCACCCGGCCGCTGCTTGCGACCCGCCCGGGGTTACCTGGAGCTGCGGGCACGGGAGTCTTAGCGCGACTGCGCAAAGCCACTGCAAGCTGGTCGCGCTGTTGTTGCCTGACCACAGCAGGTGTCGCGTCTCCGGCAGTAACTTGGCTATCTTTCACGGCAGGTGTGTGAGGTGCAAGACAGGGAGAGATTGATGGCACTGCCGCCAGTGCACGCTTCGGTGGAGTCTGCGCGACTTCCATTGGGCCACTTCTGTCCGCGGTAGGGTCTGCTTTAGCGTGCTTGCGTGGAGTCGCCGACTCTACCAGCGTGTCCACCACGGCACCAAGGTGTTGGCGCGCCCCTGCGTCCAGCTCGTCCGACGTCACGCCTTTGCGGATGGCCAGATACTCGATCTTGGCTGCCAGAACTTGTATGTCGTGCTCAATCACAACGAACTTCTCCTTGTGGTCTAGCAGCTCTCTTCGGATGTCCACGAGAGGGTCGACGCAGATGTATCCGTTGTCGTCGATAACGGGAACAGGCTGCAGAGGTATGCGGAGACCCTGGCGCTGCAGCTCGGGAATCAGCGTTCCCTCGGCATGAGAACAAAGATCCCCACGCATCTTGTGGCGGTACCTCTCAGCGCTCACCCCCTTGAACGATATGTACTCTCTCACGGTTATGAACCCAGATGTCACCAGTGCTTCGAGATACTGGCAAATGTACACTCCGCAGTCCCAGCTGTTAGGTTGTTTCGGGATCTGGTGACCCTGCGCACCATCGAGACACCATGTTTCCGTTCATCAGAACGCGCTCCCGTATTAGAAAGCAAGTGGGATAGAATGAGCCATACTGTCTTTGCAGCATCTCACCTCCATGATTATCGTTTCTGCCTTGATGAGCGCTTGCCTAGACGCCTCCTGGTCCACCTCCGGATGATCGCGTTTGCACATGAGGTGCAATAACCTGCACGACGATATAGCCAACAGGTCAGATGAGGTCGCAGGACGTCACCGCTGAAAGGGGGTTGCACGGTGATATATAGTGAGTCTCACGCTTTAGTCCCGTCAAAGGCATCAGTAGTCTTGGCGTGGAGGCCGTCACTGTCGAACAGAATGAACTCCACAGGTGCGGCCGTCTGGCTAACAATCCCGCTCAGGTTGGTTACCACCATCAAAGAGTAGTGTTTCCTGCACAATTGAGGGGCCTTTGTTAGGCTGGGGCGACAGACGAGCTTATTACAGCGGCTTGCAAAAGACGTACTTACCCGACATATACCGGGACGGCGATGTAATCGTACTCGAACACAGACGGGCCCGTGCACCTCCCAATCAGCTTTTTGTGAAGCTTGGCATACGCATACGCCTTGCTGTCAAGGACCACCCATGATTTCCCGTTCGGACACCTTGGGTACCTGATGTTCAGGAGGCTGCACGGGTGTGAATGGATAACGCACGATAAATTTTTATACGTTAAAGTCGGCATACCGTAGGTGGCGACACAGCAACCTAGAGGAGTATCGCCATCCAAAAACGTACATGTTATGGAAATCGACGACCGCGTCCCCCAGATATTCCTTGTCGGCGAGCGTCAATGCGTCGTGCGCAGTCACTTGACAGCCCACACCCATGTGGTTATACAGAGACACCGTCTTAAAGGTCGTTGAAGATGGTGCGTTCAGTAGAGCAGTCAGCGCGTCATTCGGCGCGGGCTCATCTTTGACGCATGGCAGCCGCGAGCCCCATGCTGAAACCGACGCGGCCACTGCGGCCTCGGTATTCGTATCCCCCTGCTGGAGTTCACGCGAGCGCAGCCGCTTGTTGCTCATCGATTCTGGGATCGTGGTGTTATCCCGCCGCGGCGCTGCCGGTGGCCTACGCGATGTCATGGCTTGTGGACTGTGGAGGCCTCGTTTAGAGGCCTGGGCTTTGGTTCGCGGTACCATGGCGAGTTCATGAGGAACGCCGAAACCCTAGTGTTGCAAGAACTAAACTGTCGGGCTTGTAGTGCGATTGTTGCGTTTATACACTCCACCAGGCATCTTCGGGGATGAACATCTGATTTGCTCGGACGACGGAGACTCAGGGACAGAGGAGATTGAAGAAAGTGGATACCACCATGGCGGTTCGTGATTGGCAGCGGTTTCCAGCCATATTCGACACTTGTCACAGTGCAATTGAGTCGAGATTACTGTACCCTCGTCAGCATGCACCGGCGATACTACGCGGAACCTTTATAAACTCAATTGTGCAGCCATTATCAGGACGGGTAATGTCCCGTTATGAACATAACCAAATGCGATTAACATCGACGTAACATTTCGGCCTCTCACCTTGACGCGGATGGGTATATTTCGACTTCGTTTCAGTTACACCATTGAACTATTGTCGAACACTGAACGAATCGACGACGAGTGCAGCATCCAAATTAAATGATGTATATTGATGTTCAGGGCGATGCGGCGAGATAGTTCCTAAACAGTTTAACTATACCATGCATTGTAACAATGTACGGACGTACGCATTCATGCGCACACTATCTCGGAACCCCAACTGACCCGGGCATATACTGTACAGGGTACGGAGATGTCACTAACAGATTAGCTTTCAAAACACAAACATGTGGTTTAAAGAGTGCACAACCGTGGTAGCCTATGAGGTGTACCCACGTCATTGCGCAATCAGTAGCTTCTGTGGCCAATGCACGCCTGTCAGGGCAAAGAGGGAGTGGCCAGCTTGCACCGACGTTTTTCTCACGCTAGACTCACTCATTGTCAAATAGCAGGTACATTGGACGCTGTACTCGCCAATCCTACAGGTTATATCATATGCCGCCATTTGTAGCAGACGCCACTTTACTTCCATGGCCGCTCTAAAGGATCTCTTGTCTCGCCTTGGCGCACCTCCCAGCGACGTCTACATATTTGTAGAGGTTTCTCTCCTACCTGCTCTGCAGCCATACCTGCATCCGTTCGTCGGTCGCAATGGGAATGATATGAAGAGGCTGTCTATCGGCCTTCTCTATTCCGCAGACGGCGCGCATCGCTTCAGGCCCATTGTTGTGAGCGCCGACCGGGAGCCACTGAGGCTGGGCCACGATGTCAGCGGCGACCAGTGGGCATATATACGCCGTACTCGGTCCGGCCGCATAACCCCCCAGGTAATGGCCAATTGTACTAGAGATGACTAGTGCGATTGTCTCCTATATATGGACTCAATACGGTGGTGCTAAAAATATGTCACTGTGATTCTCTTTGTTGTTACGTGCAGCTTTTCACGCAGTTCATGCTAGGCCTCAACGCTGCGAAATTTGCAGAGGACCGTGACATCGTCGTCCTTGTGTCCTCGCGGAGGCACAAGCTCACTTGGGGAGAGGGCAAGCGAGAGCCGAGTGGGCCCTTCATGGTGCACCACCTAACCCATACTCGCATTGTGCAGCTTCATGATGTTGTACCAGACGTGGGGAACCCCGTCGTGCAGGGCATTGTCACATTCTTCAGGTCCGAATTCCGCACAATGTGGGTGGACCACCAGACTCGCTTCATGAGGCGCGTGCCTCCAGCTTGGGTGTGGACTAGCAACTCTCCATCGGCCGCGAACACGTTGCAGTGGACATTCCAGGCACTGTGGGGGGTGGCGACATCTCACATTCAGCTCGCGTTTTGGCGCACTGGGTGCGTCCCGGACGAGTGGCTGCCTCGGCTTCAGGCGATCAACCGCGACATGCATGTCGAGGTTGTGGAGCAGCTCGTCGTTAGCCTCACGGGCCTGCAGAGGAGGCTGGACCAGTTGGACATCCCCGACTGCGTGATGGATGCATTGGACTACGCAACTTGGGATGACACCATGGACGAGGATACGGCCGAACGTTTTCCAGAGCCGGTCATCCGTCGGATTGATGATTCAAGCTGTGTCGGCCGCGTCAAATGGGACGACAGGACTCGCCGCCGGTTCATGCGTATGGCATCTGATGCGTACACTGTCAGAACATATAGCTTACTTGTTTCTGTAGGCTATAGTGGGGTATCCCATAGGGGGTACAACCCAATTAGGATTTCATATTTGTACTCACTTCATTTCATAGTGCACTCATTCTCGTTCACACTTTCTCATGGAATCAGAGCAGGTCCCTTCTTAGGGCCTGTTCCTAGGGCCCACCGAAGCGCGCCCCGAGGCGCGCATTTTTTTTAGCGACCCTCCGTGTCGCCCTCCCCGTCGTGCTCCCGCTTAGGCCCCTCGTCGGCCCCGCCTAGGCCCCTCGTCGGCCCCGCGTAGCCCTCGTCGGCCCCACTTAGGCCCCACGTCGGCCCCACCTAGACCCCGTCGGCTCCTCGTCGGCCCCGCCTAGGCCCCACGTCGGCCCCGCGTAACCCCCCGTCGGCCCCGCTTAGGCCCCACGTCGGCCCCGCGTAGCCCCGCTTAGGCCCGTCGGCCCCGCTTCGGCCCCGCTTTGGCCCCGCGTCGGCCTCGCCTAGACCCCGTCGGCCCCGCGTTGGCCCTGCTTAGGCCCCGTCGGCCCCGCGTTGGCCCCGCTTAGGCCCCGCCGGCCCGCCTCGGCCCCATTTCGGCCCCTCGTCGGCCCCGCCCAGACCTCGTCGGCCCCGCCACGGCCCTACGCCGGCCCCGCTTCAGCTGCTGTCGGCCCCGCTACAGCCCGCCACTGGCCTCGCTACACCCCGCCACTGGCCCCGCTACAGCCTGCCACCGGCCCCACTACGGCCCGCCGTTGGCCCCGCTACAGCCCGCACCGGCCCCAGCTACAGCCCGCCGCCGGCCCAGCTACAGCCCGCCGCCGGCCCAGCTCCAGCCCGCCGCCGGCCCCGCTACAGCCCGCCACCGGCCCCTGCTACAGCCCGCCGCCGGCCCAGCTACAGCCCGCCCCGGCCCCGCTACAGCCCGCCACCGGCCCCTGCTACAGCCCGCCGCCGGCCCAGCTACAGCCCGCCCCGGCCCCGCTACAGCCCGCTGTCGGCCCGCCGTCGGCCCCGCTACAGCCCTCCCCGCGGCCCCTGCTGCAGCCCGCCGTGCTGCACGTGAGCAGCCCCAGCAGCCCGCGCCGCCCGTGAGCCCCTACGCCACCCGAGCCGCGCGAGCCGCCCGAGCCGCCCGAGCCGCCCGAGCCGCCCGAGCCGCCCGAGCCGCCCGAGCCGCCCGAGCCGCCTGAGGAGCTGTGCTGCTGTTCCTGAGCTGTGTTCCTCTGCTGCTGACCTACCCGACTCTCCCAGCCCGGTGAGACTTTCAGCTGCTGCCATGGCCACCCCCAATGTTCTTACTTTTGACGCTGAGGGGAGGGCCATTGACTTTGCCGTCTGGATTGAAGACCTGCAGCTGTACTTACTGTGTGATGCAATAGATGAGGTCTCTCTCTTTGACTTTGTCTCTGGCGCTGTCCCTGCCCCACCTGCTGATGCTGACTCTGCCGTTCGCTCCAAGTGGGCGACCCGCGATGCTGCTGCACGTCTTGCTGTGCGTCGCCACCTCCCTTCCTCTGAGCGTGCCCACTTTAGTCAGTGCAAGACCGCCCAGGCCTTGTACGACGCTGTAGTTGCACGCTACTCCTCCCCTTCCTCCGCTACCCTTAGCCGCCTCATGCTACCGTTTCTCTTCCCTGACCTCGCTTCCTTTCCCACTGTCGCTGACCTCGTTACCCACCTCCGTGCTAGTGACACCCGCTACCGCGCTGCCCTTCCTGCTGAGTTCCGCGCTGCGAACCCTCCTCCCATGTACATCACTCTCTACTTTCTCGTCACCCGTCTCCCTGAGTCCCTTCGTGTCGTTAGGGACCAGTTTCTCTCTGTCTGTCCCACCACTCTCACTGTCGACCTCCTTGAGGAGTCCCTGCTAGCGGCTGAGAAGAGTATTGTCGCTGTAGGGGCCTCTCGGGGTGACCCTCGCACCCCCATCTTTGAGGGGTGTGGTCCTTCCCCCCTGCTGCCCTCTGTAGCCTCTGCCGC